TTCATTTTAACGTTGTTTCCCCATTCTACTAACCATCGTCTCGTGAAACGGCTCGGGTGGGTTTTAGCACTCGTCTCTCACCCTCCTCCCTTCCTGGATGCCTCTGGCTTTACGTGCACCAGCCCTGCCCAACGGGAAGCGAGGGACGGCTTTCCTCCCAGCTGAGAAGGACCCAGACCCCAGCATACGGTCTCAGGTCCAGGCGCTCCAGCCCTTCCCAGGAACTGCCCGCAGAGCCCAGCTACCTGCCAGCTTCAGATCCGTCTGGACAGGAAGGCCCAGACCCTGCTCGGCTATTTTTAGCCGCGGCCTGGTTGAGTCAGTCTTTCTGCTGGCCTGGCCCGGAGCCCTCTGTCTGCTCTTCTTTCTCGCGCGGTCGGAGTCTTGCTCACATCTTAGGCGGTGAGCAGGTCTGTCTCCCTCGCCCCTCAGCTTTCCCCCTCATCAGGCGGGGGCAGAGGAAGGGTCCAGATTTCTTTGCTTCTCTTGATAAAAGCCTCCCAGAAGTCATGTGACCTGGAGGGAGCCGGAGACTTTTCATCTTGCTCACCATTTTGCATTAATGTAGCTGTAAGTGGGAATTGTTATTTCTAAAAATCAAGTCTAAGCTCAAATATGCCTTTAAGTGAAAATAATTACATTAAAATCACTTCAGGGAGGAGGACTGAAATGTTAGCTATAAATGGGTGCTCATTGTTCCTCATTTGTGATCCCAGCTTATAGCAGAATGACTGACAGGGAAGGCACTTAAGTGCTTAATGGAGGAAGGGATGCTTAGGAATAAATGAATAGATTCCAAGGTGCTAAAAGCTCAGTGACTTATCCCTCTCAGGGGTAAAGCTTGTAACTTAACACACAGAACTTTTCTTTAATAAACTGCAAATGAAGTTTGCAGGCGTCTCTCCGGGGAGGGGCTGGAGATGTTTTTGGCAGCTGGGCTGACTTCTGTCTTCAGTAACCCCGAACTCATCTCAAAGTGCTTTAAGCAGTAGAGCAGTGGTTCCCAACCTTCTGGCCCTTTAAATACAGTTCCTCCTGTTGTGACCCAACCATAACATTATTTTCGTTGCTACTTCATCACTGTAATGTTGCTACTGTGATGAATCGTCATGTAAATATCTGATATGCAGGGTGGTCTTAGGCGACCCCTGTGAAAGGGTCGTTCGACCGCCAAGGGGGTCGCGACCCACAGGTTGAGAACCACCGCAGTAGAGACAAGGTGCTACCTCTACAGCAGGTCTTTGGCTAGGACAGGTCTCAGGTCAGTTATTCTGCGGCTCAAACCACCACGTTACTTCCCATTTCTGCCTGTCTCTTCTCTGGTGGGACAGTGTCCTACCTGCGACTGTAAGACGGGCCACAACCCAGCGTCACGCAGACGACACTGCCCCCCAGGAGGGAGCAGCACCCTCCACGCTGCGCTTCTCGGGCACCCAGTCCTCGCCCCAAGCTCCCCAGAGGAGTGCTCGCAGGCCCACTCCCAAACCAGCCACTGGCAATGGAACTGGTACCCCTGTGAACGGCTTCGATCACTCACGACTGACCACTGAGCCCCAGTGGAGGGATGGACGCCTGGGCCACATCGGGGCCGGCCAGCGAGGAAGAAGGGAGCCGTGGCCCCTGGACAGCCCGTCAACGGTGTTGGCTCTGACGCCCGTCAAACGCCAGGCCTGCTTCTCATTTCTTGTCCTTTTTCCAAGGAACTTCTATAACCAGGGAAATGCACAAATTTCATCAAGAAAATTACACCAAGATTTGACTTGCACTGAGCAACGTATTTGGATGCTGAGGGCACCCACACTTTTCTTATTTTCTTACTCTCCGGCTCTTTTTAAAAAAATCAACATTCGGTTGTTCGGTGATATTTTCATAACCCATGAGGAACTATGTGGTTAAAGGAGCTACGGTCTACGTCACAGATCAGCAAAGCGGCCAGTCATTCTTTCATTTATCGGATCTTACTATGCTTTACTCAGCACTGAAGACGCAAAGGTTGGGAAGATAGGTCTTTGTCCGCCACGGAGACTGGGGGCCCACCCTGCTGAACAGAAAATCGACTAAATGCACCTGGGTCGACAAATCTCAGAGGAGAAGGCGTTTTGAGCTGGATACAAAAGTTCAGTAAGAGCTTGTTAAATACGTGCAAATTGTCTTATATTCCATATTTTAACACTGCTAACTTCAGTTGTCATTTTAAATCCCTCTTGGCTTGGGCACATCCCAGAAAGAGCTTTTTGGGGGCACATGTAGGATTTGAACTTGTGTCATTGACGAGGAAAATTGGACCTCTGTGGTCTTAAAAAATACAAGCCTATACTAGTATATGATCATGTGAGTACATGGTACAAGCAGGTACAACATTACTTATGAGTGTGAAGCAGAATATTTTATTTATTTTTTAAAAATATATTTTATTGATTTTTTACAGAGAGGAAGGGAGAGGGATAGAGAGTTAGAAACTTCGATGAGAGAGAAGCATCGATCCGCTGCCTCCTGCACACCTCCTCCTGGGGATATGCCCGCAACCCAGGTACATGCCCTTGACCGGAATCGAACCTGGGACCCTTCAGTCTCCAGGCCAATGCTCTATCCACTGAGCCAAACCGGCTAGGGCAGAATATTTTAAAATGTGGATCCTGAGGCTGATAGTGTAGGCTGGGAGCCTGGGTTCTGAAGTTGGGCAAGTTTGGGTTTGAATAGCTTCCTGTGTGGCCTTCAGCGAACCACTCACCCTCTCTGAGCCTCGGTTTTCTCATCTGTAAAATGGCAGTAACGTCAAACACATCCATGTTCATAAAAGTCCTTTGGTTCTGCCACTGGGAGCTTCTCTTTGGCTTCTTTCTAATATTGTGTAACATCTAGTAATTTGTAGTGTCTAGTATCTTTCCAATTATCCTTCTCAGTACCCCAGCTTCCTGCCCCGTCTTCTTCTTCCTTCCTTTAGGCAGCTCCTACCCCTGCAAGTCTTGTTCATTTCTTATGAGAAGCTCAGCTCTTTGCCTCGCCACACAAAACCGCAATACTTGCCCCATAGCTGACGTTACATTAGGCCCCTCATGAACGGAGTCCCTGCCGAGCACGGCCACAGGAACCAGTGCCTGGCGGAGCCTGACCTGTCCTTGCACCTGATCCCTTTCCCGGCCGAGGTGCTTTCCTCACCAGCATCCGCGTGGACGAGGCGTCCCGTGGGGATTCATCCTGTTCTCACAGAAACGTTTAAAGTTTAGAACTACACCCTCTAGGCCAACATGAAAAACAGCTTTTTATAATGAAAACGGTTAAGTTCTCAAAAAGTTTAACACAGCATTTTAACAACCTACATGATCTGTATGTAGCAGCAACCAGGATTAATTATAAAATTGTGTATTTTGAATAGTAAAAAATGCAAACTGTGCCTCTTCAGAAAGAAACCTACAGGAAAAAACATTTCTTCAAAACCCCACAAATAAAATATTAATGGAACTATAATATAAGCTCCACAGGGCAGGGGTTCTGTTTGGTCTGTGCTCTGCTACAGCTCAAGTGCCTAGAACAGGGTGGACACACAGGAGGTGTCAATAAATACATGGCGAATGACTGTGCTGACAATGAAATCTGATTAGAAACTGAAGAAATTAGAAGTGCCCCCAACAGGCAATGGCTCACACAGGAAGTAAAAAGCTAGATAAAATGAGGCATTTTAAAATGACCCTGAAACAAAATGAATTAAACTGATAGTTCTTTTCAGTTTACAGCTGGTTATTATTGGTTTAAAAACTAGCCAAAGACCAGTCAAGAAGCAACGAGCATTTGGACATATTTAGTATACGAAATTTCACACTATACCTGTCAAATATCCTGTCAGTCTACAGTCCACAGCTCTCGTCCCTGCTGCGCCCTGGGCGTCTTAAACGCCCATGAGTAAAGCAGAAAACGGGAGGGGGTGGCTTTATTGGAAGGCTCTGGGGGGCTGATGGGAGGGAAGACCACCAGCTCAGAAGGCCTCGTGGGCTGGAAGGAAAGTCTTAGCCGCCAGGACTGTCTCTTTCTGAATGTCTGCTTCATTCTCTCAAGTTTTTTCCATGAGCTTGTAATCAAGGTGCCAACACCAGCAGACTGTCTGTCTTCCTCTCCTGAGAGGAACTGTGTTTTCACAGAGCCCATTAGAACAGCGGTTCTCAACCTGTGGGTCGCGACCCCTTTGGCCGTCGAACGACCCTTTCACAGGGGTCGCCTAAGACCATCCTGCATATCAGATATTCACATTACGATTCATAACAGTAGCAACATGACAGTTCTGAAGCAGCAACGAAAATAATTTTATGGTTGGGTCACAACATGAGGAACTGTGTTTAAAGGGCCGGAAGGTTGAGAACCACTGCATTAGAAGGCTAATGCAGTGGGAGGGATGCCAATTGGTTGAGCTTGGATGACATTTTCCATCTCAGGGACCGATCTCCGTGGGCAGGGGGAAGGGTGGGGCACAGGAGGGCCTGGCAGCTCCCCTAAGGATGTGCGAGCTATGAAGGTGGCGCAGTTCCCTAAAGAGAGACGGACAGTCCCAGACGAGAGCGAATGTCCTTCTAAACGACAACGAAAGCCCCTGTCGGAAGGAAGCCTTCGCAGACAGACCACCTTCTGCGGGTCGGCCTGAGAGGCTCCCCACTTTCAGAGTCTGGGTTCGCACCAGTCTGTTACTTCAGGGTTCTTGCTGCCCAGAGAGCAGTTAACTGAATTATTAAGATCTTCATTATTAAAATGAGGTAAGTTTTATCTGAATTAAAAAGGCAAACATAACATTAGTATCTTTCTCTAAGAGATCAAAACACTCTCATCACAACTTAATAAGGTTAGACCAGCCTGATGCACTGATGCGTAAAAATTTCTTCCATTTGACCAACTGGAAACTAAAGCCAGATGCCTTATCTGAGGTCTCAGTGCGCGAGGAAGTGGACTGGCTTCTGGACTCACGTGTTTTAGTTAAAGACCGATGTTTCAACAAATCAGTGCGGCCCACAGAGCAGTGTGTGATATTTGGCTTTACTTTATAAAAATACACAACTTAAATACATATGACACTCTCTATACAAGACATAAACAACTGTTGGATTTAACATTTTCAGTTATTTCAACAGAAAGCAAATATGCAAATTACCTCGTAAGAGCAAAAGGTTTGCTTAGAGACTCTGCATTCACAGTCACAGGGCAACCGATGCAGGAAGCCAACCCAAACCGTCCCATTTCCAACAGGTCATCCCCCCCGGCCCGCCCTGCACAGCGGTCCTGCCCTGCTGGTTCCACACCAGCTGATGCACCCACATCCCAGATTAAATGCTGTCTCCTCTAGAGATGGTTCGTGGGAAAACCAATGTACAAATGGTATCAAGTGTATCTTACAATTGTGCTCAATCCCAATCCCAAGTCTGAACCTCTTTCCACTTTGCAAAACTTGCGATGGAAGGTGGTTAGCTATATTTTGCAGCTAAACTCATTTTCAAAAGTTTCACCACATCATCGGCAGACTCCGTGAGCTGGACAGCATGCAGTGAAGGGAGTGACATCCCGGCGCCGACCAAAGTTCCTGGGAGAAGGCGCCGTCGCCGTGACACACAATGTGCACCAGCTCCACCCCTTCCAACCCGACACTGGGACCCCTCGCCCCTCCAGGCTGTCCCTGTGCTGCGAGGGGCGACGACCTCACTCCGGTGCTGCACTCACTCGGCTTTCTTTCAGAAAGTCAGCTGCCTCGTCTATGGCTCATGGGACTAACAGTGAAGTAGGTACTAGGTTATGGGTATAAAAAATATTGACCAGCTGAGAATTCAAGGCTGAGAACATACTAACCTAAGTTTCCTGAGGTAAATGTGAGCCTTAAAGAATAGTGTGTGAGCTCCAGCATCAGAGCAGTTTATGGGGGGGTAGCAGCACGACACCCCGCGTCTACAGTCCCTTAACAGACTGACGACAATGCCAAGGACACATTATGTGAAGAAGAAAATGGCGCGTGAATAACAGAAGTGCTGACAGGCGAGAACAGCGATTCAAATGGAGGCGGGAGGGGACAGTGGAACAGAAGGCGGGTGGATGTTAAAGTGCTTGGGCAGGTTGGACGATTAGCTTGAAATGCCTCCAGGGTTTTTTCTGACAAGTTTTAAAAGTTAATTCTTGGTGACTCAGATGTGGAAGGAATGGCTTTTCTTTAATAATAGCTGTTCAAACTTTTTATTCCTTTTTGAAAAACAAGATTCCCTCTAACATTTTTTTAGCCATTAAAATTATTCTGCTAGTTGTTACTCTCACTGATGTATTCTGAAATCCTAACTGGCTGAATAATTTTAAGATTGAACTAGAAAGGGCATATTTGCACCAAGAAGTTAAATTAATGCACAGAGGTCTGTAAGTTTGTATGAAGTTAGTACCTAAAAAACTTCTCATTGCTGTTCATGCTTCATTATCTTTTAATATTCTACTCAAGAATTATGGAAGTCAGACAATCCTGGCTTCCTCTCTTTTCCGTAAGTGAAGCAGTACATGGCCGCCTTGACTCCCAATGAAGGTCCTGGGAACTGAGTCCCAGGACCTGAGGACAGGATCAGGCTAAATTCCAACAAGTCAGTCGCTACATAGGGATACGAATGGAAGCCGAAAGAACGCCCCCTGTAACTGCCCAGCCGCACGCTCTCACTGTAGGTGAATGAGGTGACTGGCCCAGGGTTTAAGGACAGTGCTGAAAACTGGCCCCAGCTCTTTATACAGGGCCACACACACAGCAAGCTGTCAGGTCAACTTGGGCTGACACGGCCACGTGTGATCCCTCATTCACACGACTCCTCAATTCTGTAGCCAGAACAGAGCGATGTTCATTACCGTAAGCATGATGAAAGCCTTAAGCAACATCAGGTCCAGAGAACCTTGGGTTGGAGTTCCGCAGTCTCAGAGCTAGTTAACATTAAACAGCCAGAGGAAAACCCCACCAGAAATCAGATCTCAGACCTCATTTCATAAAAAAGAACATTTCGGTCTCATGGAGATGAGAACCTACTAGAAATCAATGCTCTGGTTTCTGACTAGCTCCCTGTAGCCCAAGGGCAGCCACCGAATGCAGCTGCTTTGGGAGGGCAAGAATCCCAGACGCAGTGGGCGTGAATGAATGGAAGTGCCTTTCTCCTGAGGTGTAGGCATGCCAACCGGCGGTCTACATGGGACAGCTGGTAAAATTCACAGAAAGTAGTGTCCTATGAACCTTAAAGCCCCCATCAGTGCAGCGTGGTCACAGCTAAAAACATGAGAATCCTCATGAGAGTGACAGGCGATGAGCCACCCCTGAGAGGGGTAGACGCCTGAGAGAAAGGCCAGGCCTGATCTTCACCCATCCTGGGAGACTGCGCTGGAGATGACGGCGAAATGGATTTCTCTATGTGAAGGAATCTATAATCTGTAGCATAAGATATCACTATTCAGAAATTTGGGACCCAAGCAAAATGATGGCGATTCCTCCCACACAGGCTTAAGGATCTCTCCCTCCACCGGCCCCACCAAAGGACCCACACTTGCCTCTGCTCATCCAGGCCCAGGCCCAGGCCCAGGCTCGTAGGGAGGCAGTGGGTGGAAGCCAGGGACTGAAGGGGAGAACTGATGGCGGATGTAGTATATGGAATAAGGAGGCCAGAGGAGAGGAACTGACACTGAGGAGGAGACCTGGCTTGTTGGGCAGCACCCCTGCCTTTCCCACCATTATTTGTCTGCAGCAAATAATACAGAAGCAATAAAAGGCATAAACCTCATATGGGGGCTCCGCTAAGGCATCAAATGTGCCTGAGCCAGGCTGCCGGGCCCCTGGCCAGGTGTGCACCATCCAGTGTGCCCTCAAGCCCTTGTCTTGGGTCTGGTTCCTCGTTCCTAGGTGATGATGTTTCCCACAGCAACCAGCACCCATTTCCACAGTCAGGGAGAGACCTCAGATCCAGGGGCCCGACTAGCAGCAGCCAGTTTACCCAGAAGTGTGGCTGCCATTGCTTTTACCCTCAGGACTGGCTCGTCTCTCCCCCTGGTGGTCAGAGAAGGGAACAGACTAAATGTCAAAAAAGGGCTGCTTAATTCAAAATCGCATCACTCTGTTTCACAAACTTCCAAAGGGCTCTAAGAGCTCATTAATTTTAGATTGATGGTTACACCACCACCTAAGGACTCATCCTAAAAGGAGCAACTTGCTTGTGAGGTCACACCAAACTTCCAGGGGTTTCGATATTGTCTGCTTCCGTTTTAATTCTGATGATGAATTAATAAAAAAGAAAGAGGTGAAAGGGTCTTCCTGTCCTCCCTCCAGAACCTTTGGACTCTCCTGAGAAGGGGCCTACGGGGGGACTTGCTGTCAACCTAGAAAGATGCGGTGAGCGCCGCAGGCGTGTGGTCCCTTCGCCCCCGCCGTGACATGGCAGCAGGCGCCTGGATTACTGATTCAGGGCTGACAACACACACGGGAAACGAGCAGGGAGGTTCTGTGGAGGGAAGCCCACGTTGGCTGTTGTACCTCCAGGGAAAGCCTGTTCGTACTGAGCCCCACGCGTCCTTTCCTCTCCTTCCTACTTGATGTTCTTCAGGACGGCCGTGCGGGCGTTCACCACCGCTTTGAAGGCATCCTCACTGCCAGGCGCCACGCACTTGTCCGGGTGGAGCAGCACCGCGAGCCTCCGATAGGCTTTGTTGACTTCGTCCCTGCGAAAAGGAGCCAAGCCCGTGTTAGGGACAGGCCCGCCCCAGGAGCTGCATTTGGCTGTTTGAATAACGTAATAACTCCTGCAGTAAGCATACCCCAAATAACTCCTACCCTTTTTAAAGGTGAAACTAGGAAACAACAAACAACAAATAATATGTAACATACAAGTAGAAAAAAAATACAGTGGAACCTGAGTATATAAACGCTGAGAAAGCGCTTGGTAAAGGAGTGATCATGTGAAAACAGACAGCACTTGGCACCTGGCGGCACTGAGTGAGTGCTGGCAGCAGGGGGGCCCGGGGCGGGCAGGGCAGGCCCCGCACTAGCTCTGAAAGTGGGGCTTGGGGACTAGCACGGGAGGGGAAGTACCGAGCAGCTGGCAGAGAACTGGCGAGGCTGGGCACAGACTGTGGGTCCGGCGTGCAGTCCCCTGAGCAAACTGCTGGGAGGGACACGCAACCAAGTAGCCAGGGAGCAGGGTCAGAAAGGTACAGGCCACGGAGGCCAAACAGGAAACGGGGTTTGACCAACGACAAGAGTAGGCGCTCCGTGACAAACGGTGCCGGGAGTGCCGTTCTTCAAGTCAGGGGTCAGGTGGGGGTGTTGCCATAACCCAGGTGAGAGCACATCGCAGCTACGGTGTCTGTGGCAGGAAGAGAAAGGGATAATGCAGAGCAAGAGGGGGCGGAAGCAGATGAGGAGCCAGATACACAGGTGGATGAGCTACAAGAAAAAGGGCTGAAATGAGTCCAGTTTCCTGGGGAGCCTGAGGCCCAGGGTAGATGGGGGTGCCAATGACCAGGAAAGGGGCGTGGAAAGGGGTACCTGAGAGGTATGTGAGCTCCCGGAGATAAAGAAGAAACGAGAGAGGTCAATATACCCAGAGAGAGGAGCGGGAAGACCCGCACAGCCGGAGATCTTAGGCTTCTGAGCTCCCCAATGAGCAGGAACTGACCGGGGAGGGGCCTGGAGACCATCTGGTCCTGTAACCCTCCCTGCTTTTTTTTTTTTTTTAAATATACTTTTTATTGATTTCAGAGAGGAAGGGAAAGGGAGAAAGAGAGACAGAAACAGCAATGATGAGAGAGCATCATTGATCGGCTGCCTCCTGCACGCCCCACACTGGGGATTGAGCCCACAACTGGGCATGTGCCCTGACTGGGAATCGAACCGTGACCTCCTGGTTCATAGGTCGACGCTCAACCACTGAGCCACACTGGCTGGGCTCCCTGTTCTTCATTATGCTCAGGTGCCAGGCCTCTGAGAGGCTTCTAGTGGCCAGTCACCGCCTGCAAGAGTCTGCTCTGTCTCCACCGGTGGCTTTATTTCCCGCCTTCCTTTTGTGATCCAGGTTCCCGCTGTCTCTTGAGGCTGGGTAGGGCGCTTTCTGAATGCCCTAGCTCAGTGGTCGGCAAACTGTGGCTCGCGAGCCACATGCAGCTCTTTGGCCCCTTGAGTGTGGCCACGAAGTTTCAATCACACTGTACGTGCACGCCCATACGTGGTATTTTGTGGAAGAGCCACACTCAAGGGCCGCAGTTTGCTGACCACTGCCCTAGCTTCCCTCCTTTACTTTTTATCCGAAGGACGTCTAGTTTGGCCCTGCAAATTAGGGAGTTGGTCTTTGCTGTCTTGATGTGACGGAGTCTTGTGTAGCTTGGAGAGACAGGTCACAGGGCCATGCTACGTTCTCCGTGTCCTGAGCATACATTTGATGGCTTTTTCTATTTTCTGCTCTTAGGGTAGTCCTGCATTCTCGTTTTAATCTTTCATGTAGCTCTTCTACATAATTTTTTTTGATATATTTTTTTGATTTTTCATGATCTTCTACATAATTTTAATATCAGCTACCAAGAATCACATTTTCCCCAAAGGACTCTCCATCTGTAAGCAGGTTCCGCATCCTCTCTCTTCCCCGTGAGCACGTCCTGGGTAGCCCCCTCCCTGCTCTGCTTCCTGAAGAAACATGTCCACCGGGGGTTGGTATGAGGCCTGGCCTGCTGCACCAAGAGTAACTTTTAAGAAGTCTGGGTAACCGATGGACACAGGCAGTAGCGGGGTGAGGGCCTGTGCTGGGGTGCGGGAGCGGGCTGGGAGAGGTCAATGGGGGGAAAAGGAAACATGTAATTTTCAACAATAAAGAATTTTTAAAAAGAAAAAAAAGAATTCTGGGTAGCAGGGGAGGCTTTCAAGGAAAATTATGGAGAAACAGGACTGAGTCAAGTGTGTAAGAAATATATTAATTCTACTGAAGATTAAGATTTTCTCAAAGGTCAAGAATAGTAAACAATTAGCACTGAACAAACATTAAAACTGTCTATAACTTAAAAAAATGTTTGTAGGTTTTTTTTTTTGTTTTTTTTTAAATATATTTTATTGATTTTTTACAGAGAGGAAGGGAGAGAGATAGAGAGTTAGAAACATCGATGAGAGAGAAACATCGATCAGCTGCCTCCTGCACATCTCCCACTGGGGATGTGCCCGCAACCCAGGTACATGCCCTTGACCGGAATCGAACCTGGGACCTTTCAGTCCGCAGGCCGACGCTCTATCCACAGAGCCAAACCGGTTTCGGCAATGTTTGTAGGTTTTGCCTCAAAGTGCTCGATACCATACAAAATTAGTTTGATATCTCCAGAAGAGCAAAGGTAAGAACAGTACATGTTTCTATTGGTTAAGGGCATGGAACTTGTGGAGATCCTGTAAATTTTAGTAGATTCCAATTAACCAGAGTGAATAAATAAGAAACCAAAGTTTACTTTTCTGTAATAAATATTGTTCTGTTAATAAGTAACCGTTTCTTAGTTTTAGAGCCAATATCCCTTGAGGATGAAATGGGAGAATTTAGAATGAGACCATGGAAACCTAAAAGTACATTTAAAAGATACCAATGAGCTCTGTGCTATGTACACGAGTCATCTGTGTTTAAAGCACCTGGCAAGTCGAGGTGGCCAATAACTGTCTTCCTCTCCCCTCCCCTCTTTGCTTCTGGACTAAAGATATGCTCTGAGACCAGAATGGAGAAGAGATACTAACACTATGGATGCTGACAAGGCAATTTCAAGGTGGGCTTGTGTGGGTGGGTGGGCGGGGTGGGGTCAAGGTGAATAAGGAGAAAGGGAGAACCATGGAGAGAAAAGCTATGGTGCAAAAGCAAAAGGTCTGAGGACTCGTATAATTATAATACGCACAGGAACAGTGTTCTGTAGTAAAACGTTAGGCAAACTTTGGAAGTTCTTAAGAGAGTAGATCCCAAGAGTTCTCATTACAATGAAAAACCTTTTCTTTTCTCTGAGATGATGAATAGTAACTAAACTTGCGGTCACTGTTTCACAGTATCTGTGAGTGAACCATTGGGCTGTACGCCTTAAACGGTACAATCCTGCACGTGAATTATATTTCATCGACACGGGGAAAGCTCTATGACCATACTGAACAATGATTTACTCTTGCACAGCAACAAAGAGTAGTGATTATATTTCTTTTTCTTCCAAATAATTCTTTTGGCTAAAATAAAGGAACATAACTACACACAGATGAGAATCTAGTAGGAATTTTGAGAAAGACAGAGAGACAGACAGAGAGAGAGAGAGAGAGAGAGAGAGAGAGACTCACACAAACACACACATGGCGTGTTCAGGGTCAAGAACCAATTCTACCACTAACCCCTGGGGTTACTGAATGTATTTAGTCTCACTAAGTCCCAGTTTTCCCAGTTATAAAATGAAATGTTTGAACATGTTGATTGCTAACATTTTTTCCTCTTCTAAAATTCTATAATTTAAGAATTCTCTTTTGTAAGGTATTTTTTTTAAGGTTCATTAGCTTCAAGGCTCTTAACTCAACAAGAGCAGAACATACCATTTCGAAAAGCAGTTCTGCATACACACTATCAGTGATGGCGAACCTATGACACGCGTGTCAGAGGTGACACGTGAACTCATTTTTTTGGTTGATTTTTCTTTGTTAAATGGCATTTAAATATATAAAATAAATATCAAAAATATGTCTTTGTTTTACTATGGTTGCAAAATATCAAAAAATTTCTGTATGTGACACGGCACCAGAGTTAAGTTAGGGTTTTCCAAAACGCTGACACGCCGAGCTCAGAAGGTTCCCATCACTGGTCTACAGAGTTATCACATCAGGCACCTGCTATCACCTGCATAGCGAAGACACAAAGCTGCTTCTGATTCAGTGAAAGAGTGTTAGCACGCCATCTAACGTATGTCACACGCCCCTGTATTTCCAGACAACTGTGAGAAGATATTTCGTACCTGTGATTTTGACAATGGAGCCGTGCTCTATAATTCTAGTAGGGCTCAGCACTAACATCACAGAGCACTGCTTACCTTGACGCTCCAGGTTTGACTCCCAACATGTCCCAGCTGTCTTTACTATTTCGAATTCTGCGAATGGTGTCTGCTTGTTCTTTGGTGAAACTAGCACTGCTATTTGGGATCGGACGTTTCCCGCCGTTTTCACATAAGTCAACTATGGCTGCATAGAAGGTCTGCAAAAAAAAACACAGCCCACGGTGGAACTGACTTGGCGAAAATGGGGATTCCTTGTAAGCATCAACTAAAGGACTTTAATACATTTAGTAACTCTTAAAATTCATACTAAAGCAAGTATTTCAGAGGGAAATACGATCAAAGAAGTGAAGGAAAATATACTGTTGGTGAGTGGAGAGAGAATCTCAGCAGAGAATTGGGAGCCACCCAAAAGCATCCAATGCAAACTCCAGAACTGAAGAGTGTTGAACTGAAAAATTCCCTCAGTGGATTCAACAGCAGATTGAAGTCAGAGCAACAGAGACTATGCAATCTAAAAAATAGAGAAAAAAAATGGGATAAAGATAAACATAGCCTCAAGAATTGTGGGACAGAAATCACATGATCTACTATGTAGCTGGAGTCCGAGAGAGAGAGAGAGAGAGAGAGAGAGAGAGAGAGAGAGAGAGAGAGAGAGAGAGAGAGAGAGAGAGAGAGAGAGAGAGAGAGAGAGAGAGAGAGAGAGAGAGAGAGAGAATAAGGCATAATATAAAGGTTCAAAAAAATCTCCCCAGCCCTAGCCGGTTTGGCTCAGTGGATAGAGCGTCAGCCTGGGGACAGAAGGGTCCCAGGTTCGATTCTGGTCAAGGGCACATGCTTGGGTTGTGAGCTTGATCCCCAGTAGGGGGCGTGAGGGAGGCATCTGATCAATGATTCTCTCTCACCATCATTGATGTTTCTATCTCTCTCTCTCCCTCTCCCTTACTCTCTGAAATCAATAAAAATATATTTAAAAAAAAATCTCCCCAAATTTCATGAAAAACACCTGCACATCAATCCGAGAAACTCAACAAGCCCCACGTAGGATAAGAGTAAAGAGACCCACACCCAGACACATGGCACAACTACTGAAAATCACTGAGAAAGAGAAGCTCTTGAAAGGAACTGGAGGGGAGCCTGGCCAGCGTGGCTCAGTGGTTGAGCGTCGACCTATGAACCAGGAGGTCACGGTTCGATTCCCGGTCGGGGCACATGCCTGGGTTGTGGGCTCGATCCCCAGTGTGGGGCGTGCAGGAGGCAGCCGATCAGTGCTTCTCCCTCAGCATTGATGTTTCTATCTCTCTTTCTCCCTCTCTCTTCCTCTCTGAAATCAATTTAAAAAAATGTTTTTAAAGAAAGTAACTGGAGGGGGACAGACATTACACACAACGGAGTAAGAGCAAGAATGGGCGCTAACAGCTCAGGAGACACACAGAGACCAGAAGAGAACGAACGAACAGAGCGAAAGTGCTGCTTTAACCTCTGCGGCTGTTATCTGTGCCGCCACCAACCTCCGCTCCTCCCAGGGGCTCTCCCATCGGAAATGAGAGTGGTAACTGCCGTACGCTACGTCTGAAAGGCGATGCAATATGTAAACCCCTCAGGATTGTAAAACACTATCCCAATGGCTAAGTATTATTATTGCACATATATAGGTACAAACCCACATAGGTTTGTTTCACAAGAAGAGAATCGTGGCAAGACAACACCAGCCTTATTTGGTCTTGAAATAGAAGCTACTGATGCCCAATTTAGCCCGTCAGCGAGGATGGGACCTGTCTTCCAATAGGAGGGGTGACAGCTTGTGAGGAGAAAATTCCGCATAAAAGATTAAGTAAGATCCCACTCAATAATTAAGAACAACTCTTTATAGTATAGCTACATTATTCAAAATGCTAAAAATGCCCAAAATATCAGATGTAGTCGTAAGAAAAAAATGCATTATTCATGCCACCACTTACTTCCAAATGGGTCTGTCATTAAGAGTTGACGTGATTTTAGAACTTAGTGTTTAAACAGCCTCCTCCCCTTAAAATTATCCAAAATTAGTAAATTTTTAAAAAGTGGCCATCTATTCAGCTTGCACTGTGAATGCATCCTTGATTGGCGAGACCTGGTTTTGTGTGTGACTGGCTGGATTTGTAACCGCCTCATATGGCCACGATATAGGATTATCTTAGCTATGGCAAGCCGATCTGCATAGAAATGTAACCAAAGGTAGTTTGGAAGAAATTCTCTGTCCACTGAAGTTAAGTGTAAAATAGCTGCTGTTAAACATGATAATCATCGGAATCACCTAGAAAGCTTTTTCAAAATATAGATTGCTGGCTCCATCACAACATTACGCTTCCAATAGGCCCGGAACCCAGCAACCTGTATTTTGAAGAATTTCCTCAAGTAACTCTGATATCAGCCAGGTCTGGTCTGAAATAGACAGCAGACAGGTATCACACACACATATCATATTCATATTCTTTCTCTTTTTCTCACCAGCTTCTGAAAAGAAAGAGCTCACTCAAATGAGAAATTCCCTTTTTGCTTCTCATAATTTAAACTAGAATTTGGCACGGGCAGTCTCGACACAGATTTTAGAACCACAAAATGCCGGGCTACCTGGAACATCTCATTAATTCCTTCTCCGGTTTGTGCTGAAGTTTCAAAGTACAGGAACCCTCTGCTTTCGGCCCAAAGACGCCCTTCACTTTCATCCACACAGCGGTGCTTGGTGCAGTCAATCTGAAACAGCAACATGAGGGCCAGAGACGGCCCAGTGAGGTCTGTCAGTCCTTTATAGGCAAATACTATTCTTAATGAAGCCCGGTGCTTGCACAGCAAATGCAGGACCCAACGGGACAAGACGACGAGTAATGTTGGATGGGGCTGATTTTCTGTGGCAAAGCAAGGGCCTGGAGAACCTGCCGCACCGAGGGGGGCGGGTCTGCTTTCACGCCTTTCCCCAGACCGCTCTGCACCTCTCACTGCCCTCCTCTGTCAGATCGGAGTGTGACGATTAGCATCCGCCTCTCCTGCTGTCACCATATCATTCCCCAAGCACCCACCAGACACAAAAATGGATCAAAGCCTGGCACCCAGCTGTTGGTTTGTTGTTGTTCTTGTGTTAGGGGCCTATGTTTTAAAAAGTTGTTGATTCCTATATTACCGAAAAAGGAACTTTCCTTTTTATGTTCCCCCAAACTCAGAGCTGCGCTCCTCCATAATAAATCTAGAAAGCTGAGCGGACCATTTCCAAAGCGGTTACCTTGTTGGCACACACTACGAAGACAACGTTTTCCATGTTCCCGTGAGGTCCAAGGTCTTGCTTCATTTCCGCCAGCCACGTGTCAAGGGCATCAAAGGAGTCTTTTTGCCCAACATCATAGACCAGCATCACACCCTGTGTGTCCTTGTAAAACTCGTTACGAACCTTCACATAAAAGAACAGATGCACAAAATCTGAAATAGCAAGTTGGAGGGGTTTTGTGGTTTTATAAGAAAAGGTACAAACCCACATAGGTCTGTTTCAAAAGAAGAGACTCATTAACTTTGCAAAGTATGTATGCTCTTTTGTGGTCACAGCATTTGCTGTTGTACCTCAGTGTCTGCTGGCCTTCACTTCAGGGGGCGTTTTACAAAATCAAAGTAACATGACTAACAAAATCTGTCGGTGCAGAAGGGCTTGGAATGGAAAGAGCAGCCTCTGCCCTACCTTCCTCACCTCCAGTTCCACTCCCCAGGGGCGATCAATCACTAAGTGCTGTTAGCAGACCTTAAAATAACACAGTGACGTCAAGTTCTGCTCAGGAAGAACATGGAAGCTGAGTGAACAATTAAAAAGAACTTAAGGCAAAAGTGACACAGATATTAGCAACAGGTACAGCCATTAGACACCCATCCCGCAGCCGGCTTTCCCGGGGGGGGGCGGGCAGGTCTCTCTGCGCCTGGAGCTGAGCAGCAGCCTCAGACTGCACACTGAGCCACAGCGGACGGGAACTCGGCTCTGGAGCCGGGCACACCTGGTTCACGCTCACTCTGAGCCTCTCGGTGTCTCAGTTTCCTCATCTGCAAACGGGACACTCCTCACTCCCCAGGGCTTTTACGACGAGGAAACGAGGTGATGAAGGCAAAGCACCACCAAGGGCATGAGCCTCCCTTCCTCCCTCCAGGAGGAGGGACAGATGCGCTTTTCCCTGTTCTTCCTGTGAGTACAAGGAAGACGCCTGGGCAGCACATAGGAAACAGACAGAACAAGTCTCGGGAAGGTGGAGAGAAGGCAGACCAGCCTGGGAGCTGGGGAACGGACAATGATACACATGCAAGACAGGGAGCTGGGGTCCACCTGGAAACGCCACAGGGTGCAGACAGACAAACGCCCCCAGAGCCTGCTCCCTTTAGACAGAAGACCAGGAAAGGGGAAGCCTCACAAGACAAAGAAACTAGACAATAACCACTCACTCCCGCCAGACGCCTCAAAAAATTCTGCCTCTCCACCCCACCCACTCAGGCAAAGGCTGAGTAGAGACTTCAGAAAAATAAATGACTGAGAAACACAATAACCAAAATGAAAAAGCTTAGAAATTGAGCTCAACAACAAATGGAGGGGACAGTGGAAAGACTCAGAGAACTAGAAGGCAGACAATAACATTAGGCACAATAGAGAGAGAAACAAACAAGCAAACAAATAGAACAGCGCCTCAGGGACCGTGGGACGACAACAAGACGAGAGTCCCAGCGGAGAAATGGGGGGGACTGGAAGCGCTCAGAGAAATAATGGCTAAAACTCCTCAGATGTGGCAGGAGACATACACCTACAGATTCAAGAAGCTGAGGACACCCCAAACAGAAAAAGCAAAGGCCTCCAGGCCAACTCACCACAATCCAACCCCTAAAACTAAAGACCAAGGGAAAATCAGGAAAGCAGCCCAGAAAAGTGAGACCTCCCCTCTGGGGAAAAAACATTTCAAATGACAGCAGATTTCTCATCAGGAATCGAGACCAGAGGACTTTCCAAGGGCTGGAAGGAATGCCAGCCCAGGCCGGGCCGGTGTGGCTGAGCGGACCTGATCACTCGCACCTGCCACGAACGCACTCACGTTCTGGGCTCAGGCATGCAGTGAAAAGCGCAGTCCCTTCACAGTGAAAATGTCTCACACAGCCACACACACTTATTTTTACACATGATTTGAATATGGGTTGTTTCAGGTAATTCAGGATCTTTGGCTAAACCACTGACAATACTGGATACAGGTTTTCTCAAAAAGGCTTTCTTACCTCGTAGAAGAAGGGGTGTCCAGCCATATCAAAGATGTTCACTTTGATCTCTCTGTCTCTGACTTGTACCCTGGAATGTTCACATGAAAAAAAATCCCAAAGGTCATGGTTTCTGCATTCACATTAATATTATTTGTCACTTAGAAATATCTGTCACACGTTTTAAAGGCGTGTGTGTATGAACCTTCAAAGAGCTTCTCAGTGCCTCTTCCGATCCCGGATCATCTCTGCAACAGGAGCCACACCTGGGCAGGCAGCCTGCCTCCTGATCCTAACACACTGAGCCCGCCTGGCACAGGCCCTCGCTCACCTCCAACTGCCCTCAGACACGCCCGTCCGCCCCCTTCACTCACCAAGGGCGGCTCGTGCTGTGGGACTAAGGAAAACAGACAAGTAGAGCGAGATGAAGGAGAACAAAATATTTTGTTTCCCTTAGTAAGACATCTTAATTACTACTGGTTATACTCGGTTATGATGCAGAACTGTAACAAATTATATTATTAACAATACCTGTTTAATTTTCTTGTTAGCTGCATTTGAGCAATAGCAATAGTCAATTTTCTCTCAGAAATTTGAAAATAGAGAACAGAACAAAAAGGGAAATAACAACCATTAAAATTAGAATTAACTACTGTTAACATTATAGCATTTTTGCTTCAAGTCTTTTTTTAAAAAAAGAAAAATCACTACTGGAAAATGAATGAATAAAACGTGATAAATAATTCGAACACCAAAGGAAAATACAAAGGAGAAAGCTTAAAAGTAAACCCAAATCATATCACCCAGAAAAAACCATCACTAACAAAGATGAAAATCACCACAGACTTCTTTCTATGCACAGATAAGACTAATAGACATTTTAATAAATATGGGTTTATACTATTTTGAAATAAAAAGTATAAGTTTTACTTTTTATTGAATTTAACAAAAAACAAAAAACTGAACTGGGAGGAATTGAGCTTTCAATGTAAATGTGTCCTCACCACAGAAATATTATTTCCCAAAAGGTTCCACTAAGGTTAAAGAATAGAGATTATAACAATAAATTAACCAAAGAGCATCTTTTTTAAGTATTTCAGTCTTAGCATTGGTACGACTTCCTCGGGGGGGAGGGGGGGGGGAACCAGGACATCGGCACCTGCTCCCTTGTTCCCCGCTGTCTCCTGGTGTGTTTATTACTATTCTCTGTCCAAAGGATAACATCTACGTTCAGTTCTGAAACCCTCCTTCCTACAGCTGTTTTCTAGTATTTGTCCATTTAAGTCCAACTAACCAGCACTCATCGTCTTGTCGTGATTCCCTCTGCTGAGCTCTCTACCAGGTCTCACCAAACGTAAGAAGCACATTTGGACATCAGAATCCATCTAACAAAAGAGAACGTGCGAACAGCAGACAAAACGAAATAAGAGTGTGGGAGCACCTACAAAAGGCCTGGCACAGTAATTTAAATTAGAAAAGTTCACCTTAGGAGATAGCATGTGAGAAGGGGTGGCACTGAAGGACACCGTCAGGAAGTGACACAGTGCTCGCACACTGACACTCCAAGGAGGTCAATTTCCTTTCGAAGCCAGAGAAACTGCCTTAAGAAAACGGCAATTCGTCACCTCAGGGCGGTGCTGCCCTAGCTGCGGCCTGAAGACCTGGCATCCTGACGGGGGAGGGGGCTGTGAGAACGCAGACCCGGGAATCAGAATCTCAGCCTAGGAATCTGCATTTTGACAAACTCTACAAGCAATTCTTCAGAATACTGCAATTTGAGGTTCACCATATCGAAAACAGGACAGGTGGAATGGCCAAGGAGTGCCCCTCCACCCCTTCTCCCCATGTACCTGGTAGTGCCAATGTTCTCAGTGATCCCACGGCTGACCGAGTTAGGGAAAGGCGCCTGTCCTGCCTGACAACCAAAACCTTCCCTGGGATTTTTACACTTGGAATGTTAGTTTCGCTCTCTCGCTGGAAGTAAAATTTACAGGGTGAGGCTGAGAGCTGCTGGCAGCTGTGTGGAGAAAGCCAAAAGGGGGAGAGAGGGAGAGAGAGAAAGAGAGAGAAGGAGAGGGGGAGAGGTAGAGAGAGAGGTAGAGAGAGAAAGAGAGAGAAGAAGAGAGAGGGAGAGGGAGAGAGGGGGAGAGGAAGAGAGGGGGAGAGGGGGAGAGGGAGAGAGAGAAAGAGAGAGAAGGAGAGAGAGGGAAATGATTTGGCTATATTTGGTTCCAGTCATCTCTGAGGCCCAGCTACATCTGTGTAATTGGATTCTGTGAATTGACGTCCTTTTTATTTATTTTTGCTGGAGTTGATCTGAGTTGGGTTTCTGTCAATTATATCCTCCTGACTCACCAGGGATAACCACCTTCTCCAAAAAATTTCAGCCAGAAACAGAAGTCTGTTGAATAAACCACCTTCTGTGGTGTAATATGGCGATTCTCATTTCTTAGATGAATCAAATAGATACTTACATGATTCAAAACAAAACTGCCTTCAACAGGATCCCCCCACATCACTGGTGAAATCCTGTCCCCTGAACTATAGATACCCCCCCCCCCCCCCGCTTTATCTACCTTTCTGAATGTTGCTAATATTCTAATCTTGCAAACTTCCTATTCGGATATATCCATCTTACCTAACAATAAGTACTTACTGAGCATCTACGACATACAAGCACTGAGCCAGGCACTGGGAGATAATTTACACTAATTGCCCCTTATTCACAGGCTTACAATCTAGCGGGAGACATTAAACATATACAAATCATAATAATAACACAAAGTAATTTAGGGTAAGTACCATAAACAGCAGAGAATTTTAGTATTTCTGTCATTTGCAACCAAAACGAGTCCTGACTGACGAAGCAGGTGTTCAGAAGGCCTATGGGCACAGGAGTATTTCACACCTTGCAGGGACGGGCAGGTGGAGAGAGGAGGGGAAGGGCCGTTTCAGGTGCAGAGTGAACGCTGGCACCTGATAGGACAGCATGATGGCAGTTCAGTGTGGATGGAGAGCGAAGGTGTAAAGGAATGAAATAAGAGAGACGGGGGGAAGGGGTGTAGAAGGGAAATTGGGGCCAGAATAGGAAGTGCCTGAGATTCCACCTTCAGGGAGTGCTGTCTACCTCCTTTCTACTCTTCGGCAGTATTATCTCCTGTAACGTAATGCTTCCTCCCCAGCTCAATCCACTCTCGATTCATCTCCAAAGAAACCCTCAGTTATTCCCAATTTCACTCTTCCTGGGTCATTTCTCTCCTCAAGTCCAATAGGCTCTGAAGATTACAAATCAACCAAGTTCTCTGATAGCAAATGTTCCACATAATATTTAGACTTCTCAGAGAGGATATTTCAAAATGCTCTAAACACATCTGCTAATAGGGCCTCCTTCTACAGAAACACGTTTCCTGAAAAGTGACGCCTGCCAGTTCTGCTCTCCGCCGACCTGCTCCGCAGGCAGACCTATGCCCATGGCGAGGCCTGCCGAACAGGCGCGCTCAGTGAGGGGTGCGTGACGGCTGGCGCTGACTGGTGTGATCTCCACGCATCTGTGAGGTCTCACTCCTATTCTTCCCCAATTTATCTCAGACTGTATTTCCAGACAGCGTTTTAGAAAGGTTCTGAATTTCTATGTAAGTTACAACATACTCACTTTGTGACTCCATAGTCAATTCCAATTGTTGCAAGGTATTTCGACACAAATCTTTTCTCACAGTATCGCTTTATAATACAGCTCTAAAAAGGTGAAAATACATGCTTTTAGTAAATAGCTTCCATGAACATATACAAAATAAACACATTTCTTCACATGGTTGGTGTCTTCATTCCTCACTATGAGAAAGCATTTTTTAAAGGCAAAAGTATAAAAATAACTGAAACAAATGCTGAAAGTGGAGATTTTTAAAGAAAAATTATTTTGTAATTCTCCCCTTAATATCGAATATGGGTATGCATTTAGTTTAGTTCTCAATCCTTGTGCTCTTTTCTTTGAAGATATCTTCTCCTTTCTTTTTAAATTTTTTTTTTTAATTTCAAAGAGGAAGAGAGAAATAGAAACATCAGTGATGACAGAAAATCACTGCTTGGCTGCCTTCTGCACAGCCCACAATGGGGATTGAGCCCGCAACCCGGGCCTGTGCCCTGACCAGGAATCGAATCATGGCCTCCTGGTTCACAGGTTGACACTCAACCACCGAGCCATGCCAGCGAGGCAAGACCTCCTCCACTTTCAACAATAACAACAAAATGCCTAAGTCTAGCCTTGACTCCCTCCCAAGACTAGATCCCCATCTCCAAATATGTGCTAGACTAGTTTCGACTCAGATGTCCTGGTGTTACCTCAAATTCAACATGTCTGAAAATAAACTAATCTTATACGTAAAATAGCACATCCTGCTGACAATCTACTTATATTGATATTGCTACCATTTTCCCAATCACAGAGGATCAAAAGGTTAAAGTCGTGTTTGATTCTGAGCCTTTCTAAATCTCCTTCTCTCTTCATTCCAAGAGTCATCGATCCCGCTCTGGTTTAGGTCATCGTGTACTAGACAACCGTAGGAACTTCTTCATTCGTCTTTTTCTGGCTCCTTTTCCTCCCAACTTTAGCCAACACTGCACACCACTAACATTATTTCAGCTCAGAAATCTTCAGTGGCTTCTCATTGCCAAGACCTCAAAATCCAAATTCCTTTGTCTGTTTTTCAAGGTCCTCTGTAATCTGACCCTAATCTGTCTTCTCCAGCGGTTCTCAACCTGTGGGTCGCGAACAATGAAAATACATCCTGCATATCAGATATTTACATTACGATTCATAACAGTAGCAAAATTACAGTTGTGAAGTAGCAACGAAAATAATTTTATAGTTGGGTGACCCCCAATTTCATTGTTACAAACTGAACACAATTAAAAGCATAGTGATTAATCACAAAAACAATATGTAATTATCTATGTGCTTTCCGATGGTCTTAGGCAACCCGTGAAAGGGTCGTTCGACCCCCAAAGGGGTTGCGACCCACAGGTTGAGAACCGCTGCTCTAAACCCTTCTATATAAACTCTCCATTTCGGCAAAACTCCCAGGACCTGACTTCCTGGCCTTTGTCATTACTCTTCCTTCTACTTGGAATAAACTTTCCCTTGTCTTTTCAAATCTTAGTTATCCTTAAAGGTCCAGCTCAAACTCAGCGCTCAGGTTATAAGAGGTCTTGTCTGCATCTGAACTCCCCTAGCACTTTACATACACACTATCACATACACACACACACAAACCCTATGCACTGCCATTAGTCATACACTCCCCCGTATTGTTAATTACCTTTTCACATGTGTATATTTACTTTATCTCTTCAGCTAAACAGTAAACTATGTGAGGGCATGCACCAGAATTTTACTTGTTTATATCTTCTGCAGAATTAGATCAGTGCCAATGAAAAGCCAATTTAAAATGACTTGTATATTAGTAATAATCCTTAGCACTTATAAAACTTATAATTTACTTGAAGTGCTAATAATGGAGTTTGTCCTTTCCTGATGAACCTCAATCTAAATTAAATAGGACAGTTACTATAAAAAGGACTTAATAAACTCACCCTAGTAAGAGAGGAATTGCAAGAGTGCCCTCTCGTGGACATTCTGAGACAGCACCCTAGTAAGGGATTAGGTGCAATAGTGCCCTCTTGTGGACTTTCTGAGAACAGCATCCTAGTAAGGAATTAAGTACAATAGTGCCCTCTTGTGGACATCCTGAGAACAGCACCCTAGTAAGGCATTAATTAGTAAAACCCTAGTAAGGGTCCTCTTTTTAAAAAATTAATGTATCTTTATTGATTTCAGAGAGGAAGGGAGAGGGAGAGGGAGATAGGAGCACGGATTCCGGGCACGGAAACTCCTTTTTCTTATTTTATCTCTAGAATCTCTAAAAAACAATGCTGAGTAATAAAGGAAAATAGTAAGTATCCTTTTTGTACCTATTTTTAATGGAAGTTGCCTTAACATTTTACCATTTGGTATGTTTTCCGGTGATTGATAATAAATATTGTTTTATCATAAAGTGTTCATTAGAAGTGACTAGTTACATCAAATATCTTTACAGTACTGGAAATATTTTCTCCAGTAATCAGTTGACATAACAAATTATGGAGCTGACATCTTGATATTGAGCCATGTTTGCATTCATATAATAAACCCTTACTAACAGTGAATTATTCTTTTATTGTTGAATTCTGTTGATATTTAAAAATTATGCATCTTTATGTTTATGTAAAATTGGTATATAATTTTAAAAAATATATATTTTATTGATCTTTTTACAGAGAGGAAGGGAGAGGGATAGAGAATTAGAAACATCAATGAGAGAGAAACATTGACCAGCTGCCTCCTGCACACCGCCTACTGGGGATGTGCCTGCAACCAAGGTACATGCCCTTGACCGGAATCAAACCTGTGACCCTTCAGTCCGCAGGGCGACGCTCTAGCCACTGAGCCAAACCGGTTAGGGCAGTATATAATTTTTTATACTATATCAATTTTTGCTACTTAAGTTTCCATGACTTCATATAATAAATTTGAGTCCTATTCATATTTTTCTTTGCCTTGGAATAACTAAAGAAATTGAAATTGTGTTATTTAAAGCTTAAATAAGGCTTATTCATGAGCCTGATACCTTTTTAAATGGCAAATCTCTTTATGTTATTGATTTCAATTTTTAAAATATATTTTTATTGGTTTCAGAGAGGAAGGGAGAGGAAGAGAGAGACAGAAACATCAATGATGAGAGAAAATCATTGATTGGCTACCTCCTGCATGCTCTACACTGGGGATTGAGCCCGAAACCCAGCATGTGCCCCAACTGGGAGTCAAACTGTGACCTTGTGGTTGATAGGTCAATGTTCAACCACTGAGCCACGCCACCTGGGCAATGATAAATCTCTTAAATTCTTTTTAATTTCTTCTGGAGTAACTGGTCAGTTGGACTCTCTACTTCTTTTTGAGTCAATTTTGGTAATTTATATTTTGCTAGGAAATCCCCCATTTCCTTTACATTTTCAAATGTGTTCCCATAGAATTGTAGGTAGTATTCTCTAATCATTATTTTAATCTCTTCCAGTATGTGACTATCTCCTTTTCAAAACAAATCTTGTAATTTTTTGCTTTCTCTATTTTTTCTTAAACAGATTTTAGGCACTTTGTTATTAGTCATTCCAGAAAATTCCCTCTCTCTTTTGGTTTATGTTGTGTTCTTTTCCTAATGTATCAATAAATAAATTCCTTTAGCTTTTTAAAAATTGAGATATACCATACCATAAAATTCACATTTTAAAGTGTACACTTCCATGGTTTTTAGTATACTCACAAAGTTGAGCAACCATTAAATTCCTTTAGTTTTTATCTCTCTTCTGTAGAAATAAAATAATGCATTTTCCTTTGTTGACAGCTTTAATTTTGAAGGTTAGGGATAGATTTAATTTTGAAGGTTATGGTATAGATTCTATTCATTTTTTTATTGCTTTCTAGTTATTTTGTTATTTGTTCTGATTTGCTTTTTGATTCAAGGATTATTTATTAGAGCATTCCTTATGTTTAACTTATAATTATTTATTTGTATATCTTTCTACATTTTCCAAATTCTTTAAAATGAGTATGTACTACTTTTATAATTAAGGGGGAAAATGTGTTCATTTAAATCTTTTATTCACCTAAAATTTATTTTTGAGAAAGAAATGCAATAGGAATCTACTCCCAAATAGTAGGTACTTATTCCAATAGTACTTATTAATGGTCTCTATGTTCCCATGATTTCATTACATTTGTTATAAACTGAATTTCCTCATCTGTTTGGGTTTATTTCTGGACTCCATTCTGTTCCACTAATGTCTCTATATTTCCTTTCCAGTATCAATAGGAAATCTTGGTAACTTTAAAAGGTGTTTTAATATCTAGTAGTGTTAGTCTCCTCTCATTTCTTTTTTCACAATTTTCTTGGTTATTTTCATGTTTCATTTTTCAGAAGGACATTAGTACCTTTTATTATGTTCTGAAGGAAAATCTTACTGGAAATACAATTGGAATTGAATGATATCTATGTATTAATTTAAAGAATTAACATTTCTACAATACTGAGTGATCCTAATTAAGAAGAAATATCTTTTCATTTGGCTAGGTAATTTTATGTCCCTCTGCAGAACATGAAATATTTCTTCATACAGGTCCTGCCTAGTTCTTCTCAATTTTAAACCTAGGCACTTTATTTTGTTTTGTTTTTTATTGTAAATTAAAATAGTTTTCAGTTATATATTCCAAACATTTATAATTTTATATAGTAAAGCTATTAATTTTTGTATATTAGTTTTTCCTTATTGAATTTTCTTATTGTTTCTAATAGCTGTTTCTAATAGCTTTCAGTTAATTCTCTTTGGGTTTCTAGATAAACAATCATATCATTAGCGAATAATGATAATATTGCCTTCTTTCCAGTACTTCATGTATTCTTTCTTTCTCTTACCTAATTGCACTGGCTAATAAATGAATGTAGTGACACTGGGAATTTTGGGCTATTTCTAATGTTGCACCATTTAGACATAGTAAAATTACAAAAGTGATGCATGCTCACTTTGCCAATTTAGTACATAACCTTCAAAAGGCACTTTATTATTTTCTTTTCAATGCCTGGCACATAGCTGATGTTCAGTAAATGCTGACTTTCAGTGAATGCTATGTTAGTACTTACATTTATACACACAGATACATAAATAGTAAAATGCTGCTAAATAGAAAGGAAAGACACTGAAAAACATTGAATGAGCATTACTGGTATGTGCAAGGCACAGGCTTAAGCATCTCTGAACAGTTCTTTTAGCTGGGACATCCTGCTCCCAGCTGATTCTGACAGCGCGCCATCATGGAGGGAGCTCTGCGGTGGGCGTGCGAGGACCTGGGTTCTAATCCTGCCTCTGTCACTAATGTGACGGCTCTGAGAGCTTCTCACTAAGCAGCTTCCACTGACCCAGAAGGAGAGACAATTTGGGCGAAGAGGAGGCAGTCTTAGGACTCGTTTGGGGAAAGACCTGGGTCGCCTCTCGCCCTCCATCTCCGCCCCCCCCCCCCCCCCCGCCATACAATGGGAGAGCGTTTGGCTGATACCCAGGAGACGGAGAAAAGAAAAAGGCAGTGGAACTAAGGCTTCCTCGAGAGAACTGATGTGGCGACACCACCAAAAACCAAACAAACCTGCAAAAAAAAAAAAAAAAAAAAAAAGGCAACAGGCTCCTGGAGACCCCTGCAGCTCCCCGTGAAACATGTCAGCATCAGCGATGCTTTCTCAGGACTGAAGGGCTCGACTCTGGGCTCCAGGTCTGCAGAGAGCCCTTTGCAAGCGCCCAGGCCTCACGCGCACCCAGCAAACTCCCTGCGGCTCCCCGGCTCTGCGTGGGTCACTAAACTTTCCCTCTCCACCTCCAAGTCCTGGGGGGGGGGGGTCCCCTGGAGCGCAGAGACGGTCTCTGCGCAGACGGAGTGACGTCAGGGTCCAGGCCTCCTGACTCTTTGGGGTACATACCCTCAAGGGGTAAGGGCCACAGAAGCTACCTTCCTGGGCCGGGCGCCGTCGGAGGGGGAGGGGCCGCCCAGAGGTCAGAAAGGTCAGGCGAGCTTTCCTCCCGTCGCCCGTCCCCCGGAGGGGACCCCGGCCTGCTCGGGGGCGGGGAGGAGGCTGAGCCCCAGGCTGCTGAGTGGCCGCCCTCCCAGCCAATCGGCACGTCGCTCCGCGGCGCCGAGGTCCCGCCCCCGAGCCCGGTACTCACTTTCCCCACTTCGGCGTTGCCCATGGAGATGACTTTGATGCGCAGGGACTTGCCAGGCTCCTTCCGCTTCGGCACGTTGGCGTCCATCGCCCTCGCTCTCCCGGGGCCACACGCTCGGCCTCGCCTCGCTCCCCGCGCGGGCCCGTCCCTCAGGCCTCCTCGCCCAACGGCGGCCCCGCTGCCACCGGCGCCGCCCGGGCCCCGCGGCTCGCCATCCCCGCCGCCGCACAGCAGCGGGCGCAGGCGGTTGGGAGCGCCGGAACGGGGGCGGGGAGGGGGGCGGGGCGGGGAAAGTCTCGCGATGCTAGAAAGGGGAGGCGTGACGTCATCGCCAGGCCTGGAAATGAAGTTGCGGTTCCCTGATCCCCGGGCCAAGCGAGGGGGTCCGGTGGGCGGGCAGGCGGCTGCAGGGGCGGCTTTGCGCCCAGAGGCTCCAGGACGGTGGTTCTCAACCTTCCTAATGCCGCGGCCCTTTAATACCGTTCCTCATGTTGTGGTGACCCCCCAACCATAAAATTATTATTATTATTATTTTAAAATATATGTTATTGATTTTTTTACTGAGAGGAAGGGAGAGAGACAGAGAGCTAGAAACATCGATGAGAGAGAAACATCGATCAGCTGCCTCCTGCACGTCTCCCACTGGGGATGTGCCCACAACCCAGGTACATGCCCTTGACCGGAATCGAACCTGGGACCCTTCAGTCCGCAGGCCGACGCTCTATCCGCTGAGCCAAACCGGTTTCGGCCATAAAATTATTTTCGTTGCTACTTCATAACTGTCATTTTGCTGCCGTTATGAATCGTCATGTAAATGTCTGATATGCAGGATGTATTTTCATTGTTACAAATTGAACATAATTAAAGCACAGTGAGTAATCACGAAAACAATATGTAATTATCTATGTGTTTTCCAATGGTCTTAGGCGACCCCTGTGAAAGGGTCGTTCGACCCCCCAGCAACCCCCAGGTTGAGAACCGCTGCTCTCGGACTTAGGCATTTGCTACGTTCCCGGCCGAGTGGCTTTTAGGGCAGATCCTCCCCTTGGAAGCATCTGGAATTACGGATTAACTAGTGCAAGGCTCAGCCAGCCAAAATCCTACGCAGACCATGGTCTATTTGGGATTGTTTTCTGGATTCTTCAGTCTATACTGACGGTCCACTCACCCCTCCAATATTTTGTTCCCCCAGCTTTGGCCAAAGCCAGGAGCCAGGGAAGTGGGGAAGTTCACGCCCTGGTTCTGGAGGAGGGGCCGGTCCACAAAAATTCTCTGCCCCTAACCCAATGCCAACAGGAGTCAGAAAAAGGAAGGACTTTATCCAGGTAAACAGCAAGATGGGCAAAAGTCAAAAGTGGCTCCCTCCAGAGGCCAGGAAACCCACTTATATAGGGAAAGTGGTTGCCCTCGACCCTGATTGGTCCTTTTTTATGCAAATAAGGAATCCAAATGTTCACAGTTTAATTGGTCCCAATAGCACTGTCCTGATTGGTTGGAATTGTGCATTCTGATTGGTGGTTATGGAATTGCTCTGATTGGTCAGTAAAGATGTAAATGAGGATGCATGTCAGCTCCGATTGAATGGGCAGGTCTCAGGCCATTGGTCAAAACATGATTCTAAGAACTCCTTTGTCAGGTTCTGGTTGGGCAGGAACACAGCACAGGAGGTTTGGCAGATCCCTCTGTGAAGAGGGGCCACTCTGAATAATGGCTGCTAGACTCTGGATTATGAATTTCGACCCAGTTACCCACAAGGAGTCCTTTTCAGCAGGTACATTCCTTCTTGGGTTCAATAGGCCTCAGGCAAGATCTGAATCCTATTCCTATCATTAAAAAAAAAAAAATTTTTTAAAAAAAATAGGCTGTTTGGAGTCAACATGGGTTTAAGTTTAGTCCTTACTCTTCTATTATGTAGTTCTAATTTGTAGGAGGGAAGTTCAGACTAGACTTTTCTTACACTCGTTCAGCTCTATCAAGGTGTGTGTGCCTGTGATTATAGCTGTCAGCGCCTTCATGCCACTCACATCCAAACTTAGCCCCATCTTCTGTCCTCACTTTGCCTTTAGCTGACAATATGACAAATGAATTCTAATGTAGCAGCTTTTATACTTTCTCATTCCAAGGGATAAGAAAAGCATCTTCTTGATAAAAATCAGTCTAAAAGGAACTGTAATTTTTTGAATCCATATCTTCAGTTACAGAAGATAAACAGAACTTGATAAATGATTTTTTAGTGCCCTGAAAAAAATGGCTGCCATTTCCCAGTAAACTACAAGGACAGCGGTAGTATTGCTTGTGTCCCCCATAGCTGTAAACATCTTAAATGTATTGCAGGAAGACAGTGAATAAAGGCTCAAATATGTATACTAGTTATTTAAGGTAGATTTTCAAATATTTCTATTTAAAATTTTAATTTTAAAACATTATATGCTTTTCAAGAAGAAAGCCTATTCTGGGTTTTCATTATGAATAAGTGATATAACTTAGTTCAATGAAGCTTCTAAAATTCTTTACAAATATGAACTATAAGCCATGGTTAGAATATTGATCGTTTTAAGCTTAAAATAATTGGATTTAAACTTATTCTCCAGATACTGATCTCTCAGTATGATTTAAAAAGTCAACTGTTTCTTTGACAGTTCACCTTTCACCCTGTAACAGAACTGGTATTGTGATAGAATAATTGCAAAATGCCAAGTCTAACTATTAAAGACTGATTAGGTATGAGGCTCTTGAGCAGAAGGCCAATTAAACATGTCGAGGTTTAAAATATATTATCATTTTTGCATATTGATGTTTTCAAGGTTTGAGTATGAATATCCATATTTTCTACTGGCTGTGTGAAGTTAGTTTGGAATTGAAAAAGCAAGAACGTAGCTTTTCTTTTCCAGTCTTGAATGTAGAAAGAAGAAAGAGAAGCATGGATGGGCTGTGTGTGGTGTGGAGCTGGATGAAGCGGGATATGGGTTAGGAGCAGGAGTGCGGGAGCCAGCCCTGTTACATTTATGCTGGTGCCACACGGGCATGAGGTGCTGGGGAGGATTGCGGGAGAGAATGCCCATGAATAAAGACTCAACTTTTCGTAATAGTTATTTTAAGTTTGATTTTCAAATACCTCAATTGAAAACTTTAATTTTAAAATATTATATGCTTTAAAATTGATTCCAAGAGCTCCTTTATAAGAATGCCCAGGAAGTACAGTAGACCCAATAAACAGTAGCCTTATGTTTTTTATATTTATGTATTAAGAAAGATTCTACATATGTTAAAACTGTATTTTAAAAGTAAATTGGGAAATATATTGGGCATTCTTAAAGGTATACAGAACAACATGATGAATATCAGTGTATCTACCACATTGCTTAAGAATAAAACATCACGGATGCTGTATTCTTCCCTAGTACATCCCTACCCCATCTCTACAAAAGGTTGCAACTCTCTGAATTGGTACTTTTAATTTGCACACATTTAAAAATTGTACTTACTATATGTGTGATACACATGAAGTGTAGTATTGTGACATATCTTTTAGAAATATTTATTTTGAAATAATTTATTCAGAAAGGTTTCAAGAATAGAACAAAATCTTATATCAACCCTTTATCCAGATTCATCGATTAACATGTTGTCCCGTTTGCTATAGCCAGTGTTCTATTTGTCTATCCATTTATCTATCCACATGTTTTTTCCTGAATCATTTGAGAGTAAATAGCAGGTGTGTGTCTTTACCCATAAACACTTCCATGTGTGTTTTCCAAGACAAGGACTTCTCTTACATAGCAAAAGTATATTTAGCAAAATCAGGAAAAGGAACACTGATACAGCTCTATTATCTAATCCTGTGGTTCTCATACTGTGTATTGAAGTGCCCCACAGACCCACAGTGAATTCAGTTCACTGGGGATATCTGTAGGATATCTTACATTCTAAATTCTCAAGGCAAAATGAAATCTAAGACTATGCAAACCTACTTGCCCGAGGTTGTTTGCAATTTCTACAATAGATGGCGCCATATTCCTTAAATATGTCATAGGGGAAACTTTCTCCGGGACTGTGATAAAAACCCAAGTACAGCGCAAAAATCAGTGTGGAACAGGAAATTAGGGTGGTCTTGTCCAACCTGATCCCAAGATTTGAGAAGTTGTGCAGTGCCCAAAAGGTGCACACATCCCACTAGTAAGTAATTGTGGTTAAGATGGAAATAAAACATATTTTTGTTCAATTTGCATGTACTATTTTTTTCCAAATAGCAACTAAATTGTTAGGGCATAAATACTTAATAAGTTGTTTGGACCTAGATATTTCTTTTTGCCAAAAAAGACCATGAAAAAAATTATTGAGATACTGAGGGTACCTTGAACTAAGAATATTTGGGAAACTTTGTTCTAACCCACAGATAGTTCATATTCAAATTTCACCATCTGTCCCAAAATATCTTTTATAACTATGTTCCCCATCCTCACCCCCTGGTCTGGAGTCTAATCCAGCATCATTAGTTGTCATATATCTTTATTCTTCTTGTATCTACTATGTCCTCAGCTTTTCTTTACCTTCCAATATGACAGTTATTTTTAGAACCTTCCTATTTTGTGTTGGGTTATTCTTCTCATTAAATTCAGTTATGAATGTCACAGAAAGGACATACTGTCCCTTTAAGGGCATCAATATCAGAAAGTCTGTGATTCAATTTATTCCATTTATTAATGAGGTTAACTTTTAGTTAGTTGATTAAGCGAGTGTTCACTAATGTGAATTTTCCCCTTTGTAATAAGTAATTTGTAAGGAGATATTTTGAGGTTATATAGATATCCTTTCTCCATTGGATTTTCACCCACAAAGTTTTAGAATCCAATGATGATTCACAGCTGAAAAGATTATTTCCATGATGGATGCAAAAATCATGATTGTCTAACTCCATCATTCCTCCTACATTTATTACTTGGTATCTTACCTTAAGAGAGAGTTTTTCTTTCTCATTCATTAATTTATTAATTTATATCAGTCTGGACCCATATATGCTTACTAGAGGCCCGGTGCACGCATTCGTGCACCAGTAGGGTCCCTCGGCCTGGCCTGCGGGGATTGGATTGAAACTCTCTCCGACATCTTCTGAGGGGTCCCGGATTGCGAGAGGGTGCAGGCCAGGCCGAGGGACCCCACTGGTGCACAATTGGGGCCAAGGAATGACTGCAGGACGGCCTCAGGGCATGTCCAGCCTATCTCGCCCAGGCCCAATTGGCTGGACCCCAGCAGCAAGCTAACCTACC